GCTTATTATACTCACCAACAGGAAAACGATCACGAGTTAATACAACCCAAACAAAATCACCAACATCAAAAAGTACCTGACGACGATGATTGTCGACATGAGTCTTGTACTTGGTATTGCTCTCATGAATTGTCTGTTTCACCTGCTCATGGATACCCCGAAGATACTTTGCCATCTCATATGCTTTAGGACTGAAACGACCTATACGTGGAATAGGGGCTAAGTCCAGCACCCCGGATGGGTTCTAACCATAGACAATCTCAAATGGGCTTAAACCTGTGGTTCTGTTTTTTGATCTGTTGTAGGCAAATTCTGCCTGAGGCAATGCCAAATCCCACTGCTTCGGCTTCGTTCCTGCCAAACACCTCAAAAGGTTTCCCAAACTTCGGTTCACCACCTCGGTCTGTCCATCCGTCTGGGGGTGGTAGGCGCTACTGAAATTCAACTGCGTTCCCAGTTTCCCCCACAGGCTCTTCCAGAAATGAATGATGAACTTAGTATCACGATCTGAAGTGATGGATCGAGGAACACCGTGTAAACGCACAATCTCCTTGAAATAGAGATGGGCAATCCGGTCAGCATCCATAGTCTTTCTGCAAGCTACAAAATGAGCCATCTTGGAAAACCTGTCAACCACAACAAAGATAGAATCCGAGGCCCTTTGGGTGCGGGGTAAACCTAGTACAAAATCCATGCTGACATCGAACCAAGGAGCTTCAGGAACAGGTAAGGGAGTTTACAAGCCCGCATTGGTGAGAACTCCCTTAGACCGCTGGCACACATAACAACGGTCCACATAATGGGCCACATCACTAGTCAACCTGGGCTAATAAAAGTCAGAAGAGATAAGGGCCAAGGTCTTATCTCGGCCAAAGTGTCTCTCATTATGGAGTTCACTTATAATTTGCTGCCTCAATGAACAATCTGGAATGCACAACTGTAATCCACGAAACAGATACCCATTATGCAAAACAAAATCATGACGGTGACCCTCAGTTACCTCCTGAAATATCCTTCCAAAGGAAGGATCAGCTGCATACATATCTGTGAACGTCTCAAAGCCTGCAACTTTAGTACTCATGGTGGTGAGAAGTAAGGTACGACGGTTCAGGGCATCTGCGACGCGGTTCAAACTCCCTGCTTGGTGCCTCAGCGTAAAAGTGAATTCTTGCAAGTATGCCACCCACTTGGCATGATGTCTACTCAGCTTGTGTTGGCCATTGATGTACTTCAAGGCCTCATGATCGGTAAACAAAATAAACTCCTTCTGTACTAGGTAGTGACGCCAATGCTTCAGGGACTGAACTATGGCATAGAACTCCAGATCATAAGTGGAATAATTTTTCTTTGATCCCGATAGTTTTTCACTGAAAAAGCAACTGGACGACCTGCCTGACTTAGAACACCACCAATGCCAACGCCAGATGCATCACAATTTACCTCGAACACTTTGTCAAAAATATGGAAGTGCCAAAACTGGAGCCTCGGTCATCTTCTTCTTGACCAGTTGAAAATTGGCCTCTGCCTCCTCAGACCACTGGAAATCACGCCCCCTTGAGGCACTCTGTGATAGGGTCGATCAGAGTAATGAAATTTCTAATGAATCGGCGGTAAAAAGACGCCAAGCCATGGAAACTTCGGATGTCATGTAAGGTCTTTGGTCTGGGCCACTCCAAGACTGCATCTACCTTTGACTGATCTGCATGAACACCATCAGTAGACACAACAAAACCAAGAAAAGTCACAGAAGTAGTGAAGAAAGAACACTTCTTTTGATTGACAAACAAGCACTCCATTTTCAGCATCTCAAAAATAGCACGGAGGTGATCGAAGTGTGAAGTCCATGTCGGACTATAAACGAGGATATCATCGAAGTAAACTACAATCAATTTCCCCATAAAAGGCCGCAAGACCTGATGCATAAATCTCATGAACGTACTGGGCGCATTGGATAACCCGAAAGGCATGATCATCCACTTATACAACCCTTATGGCATTTTAAACGCCGTCTTCCACTTATCTCCAGGTCTTATTCTGATTTGGTGGTAACCGCTCTTAAGGTCAATTTTTGAGAAGACCTTAGAACCATATAGTTGATCCAACATATCATCTAGACGGGGAAATGGAAGCCGATACTTAACTGTAATTCTGTTGATCGCTCGGCTGTCAATACACATACGCCAAGAACTATCTTTCTTTGGCACTAGCAGAGCAGGGACTACACATGGGCTCATACTCTCTAGGATATATCCCCTCTCCAACAACTCTTCCACCTGTCGCTGCAACTCTTCAGCCTCTTTGAGACTGAGGCGATATGCTGGTCGATTTGGAAAACTTGACCCAGGAACAAGGTCAATTTGATGTTGAATATCCCTCATAGGTGGGAGCCCAGGAGAAAGATCATATGGCATCAAGTTAGAGAATTCTGCTAGCAGCCGCTACACTTCTACTGGTAAATCTGCATCCACGTCTACTGCATTGTTCTCGCAAGGTAGTAAGGCATAGACCACATCGCCATGCTCAATCTCATCTAAAAACCTGGACATAGAAAGCATAGTAGTATTATGGGTTACTGGGGTAGGAGTGAGTCCTTCCCGCCGGGGTACCAGCACAATCTTTTTTCCCTTGATGCTAAGGGAATATGTATTCTTCCGTCCATCATGAATGACACTACGATCATACTGCCAGGGTCGACCCAACAATATATGACACGCATCCATAGACACAACATCACACCAGGCATTATCAAAATATTTTCTACTAATTGAAAAAGACACGAGGCATCGCCTATCAACTGTTACCTCACTGCCTTTATTTAGCCATGACAGCTTGTATGGCTTAGGATGACGGTCCGTCTTCAACTGCAATTTCTGGACAACCTCCTCGGACACTACATTCTCACAACTGCCGCTGTCAATGATCATTTTGCAGACTATATCTGCAACTGTGCAGGTCGTGTGGAAAATATTGGTTCTCAACCAATCGTCCCCTAAATTGCCCTTGGGAGTAAGTAGACTCTTGCGAACGACCAGAGTCTCATGACCATCTCCATACAGCACATCATCAGTCTCATCATCGTCATACACGGGTTCGCCAATCTCCTCAGTCTCGTCTTCCGCGTTTTCCTCAATCAACAAATTTTTGCCCTTTTGACTAGCAGGCTTCCTGCAATCAGTCACCCTATGCCCTTGTTCACCATAAAGAAAACATTTAATAGTAGGGTTAGAATTACCCTGCGGTGGCTGTTGAGCAGGACGGGAATCCTGAGGACGAACTGGTCGACTGTTGTGATCGTTCCTGATCACTGGTCTCCTGTTTTGTTGTTTTTCAACAGAAAGTGCACGTTGGTAAGCTTCCGAAACACTCCACAGTGAATGAAGGCTGAGGACATCTTGTAAGGGCTGGCGTAAACCCCCCAAATACTGTGCCACCATTTGCTCCTCCGTCTCAGATAAATTGTTCCGGGCGACCAATTGGTAAAACTCTTCCGTGTAATCATCGACTGATCGTGCGCCCTGCCTTAACGCATGAAGTCACTGAAACAAGGTTTACATGTAGCCGAAAGAAAGGAAGTGACCCTTCATCTTCTTCTCCCAATCAGTGATCTTGGCCTTGCCCTGTCTTTCTCGTGAACGTCGCAACTGTTCCCACCACGCAGATGCTCTGCCCTTGAGTTTGATGGCGATCACTTTCACTTTCACACGATCGGAGACTTTCTTATATTCAAGAATACGCTCCACATCATTAATCCAATCCAGGAATCCCTCGGCCTGTAACGTACCAAAAAACTCAGGGAGATTGACCCAAAAACCGAGGTCTCCATGACGCTCCTCCCGACCACGGTGTTCCCGGAATAGAGCACGATTATGATATGGGTTTTCGAAAGCGGAATTGGTATCGTGATCAGAGGCCTCACGATCCTCAAAATCCTGCGCCGCCAAGCGCTGGGTTAATTCTGCGACTTGCCTCTGTAAATCCGCAATCATCACATCCTGAACGTTGCGTCATGGCGTTGGGCTTCCTCATTCAGAACCTGCTCACGACGACCACGACCACGACCTCCAGCCATTGAAACTGGTGAAATTTTCCAGGAAGATGTTGAAGCTCTGACACCAACTGACGCCAGACAGAATAGTGATTATCCTGCAGGCGCTCCAACAGATGATTCACAAGAGAAAATTCGCCCAAAAAACCAGAGAAAAAAAGTCTCTAGGGTTTAATAAAATATTATAAAATCAAACAACCCCAAAATCAGTCCACAAGTCGAACTATTATAGCTAAAAATTGTCTTTATTCGAATTTTGCCAAAAATAGCAAAATCCCGAAAATCACTCTAAATTGAAATTCGAAATAAAATAAACAATCTCCAAAAAATCCAGCCTAAATCGGATTTAAATTGACTTTCTAATTGACAATCGAAATATTACCATAAATAGTAAAAAAATATCTAAATCTAGTGATTCGGAGGGGGAAAACGGTAGAATTTGAGGTTGAAAAGAAGGCTACATGGAGCACAGCTCATGTGGAGAGCGTGTGCGTCGAAAAGAGCTTTCCGGATTGGGGTCTTATACGCGATTCTGACACCTGTAGCCAAAGTTATGGCCAAAAGACTGAAACATACTCAAAACGACCTCAATGAGGAACATGTCACAATCAATACATTTGCGCTGATCTGCCAATTCATGGTATCTCAGCACCATCAAGGTGCAATCTGACAGTTCAGCATCATCTGTCTCGGATCCCCTGCATCAATAGCCAACTCGGTACCTTTCTTGCTTTTCAAACTCTGTGTTGTCTGCGCAGTATAATGGTTACGTGCTGTTGGTAACCTTGATCTTTGCACATTTTTTAATTCAACTGTTCTTTTTATATGATCAGTGTAATTGCAACCTTTAGGTTTTGTTTGAGTGTAAAAGTACAGGCCAAGTACACCCATAACAATGAAAGAGTTGGCACAAACTCCAAAGTAGATTTTATGTTGGGCAGTAAATTCAAAACACAAAAATCATTACATGATGCATGCATAAAATTGTAAATAAAGGAAGAGAGAGAAGTGGATGATAGACAGAGAGTGAGCACTCAGAGCTTCAGCATGAAAATGCGAAAGCATGCAAGAAAGTACCCTGGGTGCTCACTCTCTTCTGTCATCTCCCTTACCCTAAACAGCATGTCGAAGATGGAATAAAGGACATCCCTACATATATATTTATCTGAAAATAAATAGCCAGAAATGTTTGAATATCTGAAACATCTCTAGTTTTTGGTTTGGTGTGGGAAGCAGTGGAGGAGCACAGGGGGGCTTTATATGGAAGGGAAAGGAGAGTGGTTTGCACCATGTTTTGGAATGAAATGTGGGATCAATATATGATTTTTCATTATTTAAACCCTAAATAATGATGATGATGGTGATGTGTCTTGATATTTGTAATTCCCTTATTCAATCTCCATTACCATGGATTTGATACTTGCGTAAAGCACCCTACGATCTCACGTTTCCTTTCTTGTTACTTTTATTTCCCCGAATCATGCATGCTTCTGTTTGATAACAATGATTCAATCCTCTTAACCAACATCACAACCATGTTCGTTTATGAATTATGATCACAACTAGGGAGAAGACCTAAATTACTGCGTTATTTATTTGTATATGATGAAGTAGGGTGAGCATAGAACAAAAAGAATTATAAAATCTCTCCATTATGGAAGTGGGTATTTCTTAATTATGCCTCTGACTGAACTTTCCCTTTCAAGAGTGGAAGATGATGGAAGGAGGCTGCTCCCCATACATGTGGATATTCCCCCATTTCTCCAGTACCATCTACAGCTTTGAAACGTATGGGATAATTGCACGAAAAGTCCCTAAGCTATTACTTAAATTTTTACATTGGTAAGCAGCATCATTATCATTATCGTCTTTTCATCATAATCCCTTTTTCTGTTACAAACAGTAGTCGCAGGTCTTTTCTGCCACTTCCGCCAAGTAGCAGTACATTTGGAGATTGCGTTTATCTGTTGTAGATGAGCGGGTTGACCTGGTGGATTAGACCCAGCCATGAGTTTATTGAATTTGCCTATAATGATGCAAGTCCAAAGTGAAAAAGAAAGGTAGGAATTGCATTCAAAAGTGGTTGAGCAGCAAGAGCACTAGGTTTATGAGAACCCGTCTTTTCTCTCTCTTATATGGTGTCCAAATGTCCAATCAAGAATCATCCCTCTCTCTACACATACATAGCTTAGCTAATATTATCCATTTGAGATTATTCCCTTTTCTTTTCTGCTTGGTCACATACCTTGAGGTGTTAGGCAAAGAGTTTCAAACATATTGGACAATCTTCCTCCTATAACAAACACTATTTAATATATATTCACACATATTACTAATGTACATGACAACTTTAATCCGTTCCCACTAAATAATGCATATGTAGTTTAAGCTTGCTATAAGTCATTACTTGAGACGGCACTACATTCAAGTGAATAATTTCTAACATTTTAAAAAATCAGGCGTTATTCAAAAAGTTTCTTTCGTTTTCCCTTTTGATATCTCATAGATGACGAGTAAGGTGAGAATTGTTGATTGGAAAAAGTGTGCTTCGATGATCATTTTTAATATATCAGAGTTTTTTCATCATCAAGGTCTTTGGTTAATATTTGACAAATATGACGAGGTGGTTGATTCTTCCATCCCTAATAAAAGAAGCAAGGGATGTAGAAGGTTTGGCTTTGTTCGCTTTGCTAGAATGGAGGACGCGAAGAAGGCTATCACCTGTGCTGATAGATCTAGGATTCAAGGCAATAAGGTTAGAGTTTTCATGGCGAGATTCCAACCTCGAGATGCTTTCTGGAGGAAGAAGTATTCGGTTTCAAAATCAGCTGTGGCTAAGAGTAGAGAGGAGGACGTTGGTCTTCCAGAGGCTCCCATTGTCGGTGTTGTTGATGAGGATAAACTATTAACTCTTAGAGATAGTTTGGTAGGTTGGTGCAGAAATTTCATAAAAATGAAAGAGTTGGATGTTATTATGCACAAGGAACGCATCTTAGCTATGAAAATTATGAGGTTAAGCGGATTAGCAATTTTAATCATTTTTGAAGATGAATAGAGTTGGGATTTTACTCTTAATAAGCAGATGGGAGCGTTGAAATCCTGCTTTGAGAAAGTGGAAGTGTGGTCGGAATACTTCCAGTGCAGCAGTCGACGGGCATGGTTATCGTGCAAAGGGATCCCACCATTTCTGTGGAGTCAGTTAACCTTCAGAAACATTACAAAAAAATGGGGAGCTCTTATCTTAATTGAGGAATGGACTTTAAATCCCGGTTGGTTTGATAGGGCTTGTTTTAGATTATTACGAACCGTCAATCTCGAGTGGAAGAATTCATTGAATTGAAAGTCAGGGATCGTTTGTGTGTAGTTTATGTTTCTGAGTTTGAACCTTGTTTCAACCCATAATCTGTGTGGGAAGATTCGAATCAAATGGAGGAAGTTCATGAAGAAAATCGAGCTTTCAATGCTGGATTGTTTGCGGGTGTTGGAGCGTGGTGTTCAGGAGCTGATAATGCTGGCGAAGATCATTGTTTGGAAGAGGTAGGGGTTGGTGAACTAGATTCCTCGACATTGCGTAGTGGGGCAGACGCGCATGGTTATGTTTGCCAGAGGAGTTGCACAATTAATGAATTCGAGGTAGTGAGTAGTGAGCACATCAGAGCTGAGGTGGATTTGCATACGCCTATTGAAGTAATATTAGGTGTTGGGAAAGCAGGTGATGCTGCTAATTTCGAAGAGTTATGGGCTATTGATTTAAAGTCCCCGACATCGCCTAATGGGGCAGCCGTGCTTGAGCCGATTTGTCAAAGGAGTGCCTCTTTTGAGGCGGTGGAGATAGTTAGTAGTGCGCATGTTGGGGCTGAGGGGGAAGTGTGCGATGCTATTGAAGGAAACATGCGTAGTGGTGATAAGATTAGGACTCCAATTTCCAGTGGTGGCATGTTTGAGGAAGCATGCAAATGTGACAGTGTTGGAGTTCATTTTAAGGATATTGTTGGGGAGCCGAGCATGGGTGGTGGTGGTATCGAAGATGGTCAAGAGAGAGCTGATTTTCAAATTCCAAATAATTATTTTCACGTGGGGCCGCATAGTGTAAATGTTGATGGGGAAGTGAACAATGCTGATGATTTTTATATGAGAAAATAACTTCAGTGACCAAAAATGTCTTATAATATACGATTTTAACCAACTTTTTTTGGATTTGCCAAAATGACCAACAAAATCGCAATGCGAAATAAAAATCGCAACGCGATCTCCAGAATCGCAACGCGATTATGAAGAATCGCAATGCGATAGTACAAATTCGCATTGGGATTTTCCAGAATCGCAACGCGAATATGAAAATCGCAACGCGAACATATAAATCTCAACGCGATTCTGACTATCGCAACGAGTATCCGTAAAATCGCAACGCGTATCCGTAAATCGCAACGACAATATGTAAAATCGCAACGCGTATCCGTAAATCGCAACGCGTATCTGTAAATCGCAACGAGAATACGTAAATCGCAATGCGTATCCGTAAATCGCAACGACAATACGTAAAATCGCAACGCGTATCCGTAAATCGCAACGGGATTTTTAAAGCGCCATTACAATTCGCTATGCGTATTTTATTTTCAAATTCCAAACACGAATATTAATTATCGGAACACTGAACCGTCCACAGTATATCCCGTAATCGCAACTCATAACCTAAAACCTAAAATCACAACTCAGTCACATCTCCATCTCTCACTCTCTACGGCGAAATCCGTCCCCATCTCCGAAGATTTCCGTCCCCATCTCCGGCGAAATCCCTCACAACCATTCACGGTCAAAAATCCCTCACAATCATTTAGAAATGGAAAATCAACCTCCGAGGGTTAGTTTTTTTAATTATTTTTATTTTGAATTTTTTGCATTATTTTAGGTTTTTCATATTGAAATTGATGATAAGTTTACTGGTAATTTCAATAATAGATTAACAATTTCACTTAGATTTCTTATTAAATTTATTCGATTGCTGCCAATACTGCTAAACTGTTTAGTCTTTAACCCTGTGAAGTTAGTATTTGTCTTTGTTTTGTCTTTTGGTTGAAGTAATGCAATCCATTAAAGTTTCAATTTGCAGAAGAAGAATAGTTTCTAAACTTAAAATCGCAACATAAAAATGAAAATCGCAACACGAAAATGACTATCGCAACGAGAGAAATGAAAATCGCAACGCGAAACCAAAATCGCATTGCGATTTTCATTTCGCGTTGCGATTTTAATTTCGCGTTGCGATTCTCTCGTTGCGATAGTCATTTCCGCGTTGCGATAGTCATTTCCGCGTTGCGATAGTCATTCTCTCGTTACGATTTTTATTTCAACCAAAAGACAAAACAGTGTTACAAATTTTAGTTTCAAGAATAAACTACTACTCTTTATGTTTATTGTTTTTGGTATATCTTCACAGTGTAGTTTTTGGTATATCTAACTTGGTATGTTTATTGTTTTTGTAGAAAATTTTTTCGGCTTCATTGACATTAAGGAATAAAGTTAGCCTAGCCACTACAATTGCTTCGAAGCTTTCACCTGCACAAAGAAAATTGTTTGAGGAAACCTGCTTCGGGCCATGGCTGAGAGTACATCATCCGGGTGGAGATGCTAATTTGACCCATTTGTGGCTTCAGACCATGACTAGCGATCTACCCGACAATATACAACATGGTGAGGAAGAGATATGGTTTCATTTTCCACCGGCGTATACTTGTTTTGGGCGGAAGGAGTTATGCTTAATCACTGGTCTACGATTCGGACACGATGATGTAGATCGGTACACTCGTCATAGCACCCGCCCATCATGGTTATCCCGGGTTTTTCCTGATGAGTCAATAGAGAAGCCGAACTTACACGTCGACGACCTGAAGAAATTGTTTAATAAGAAAGATGGTTTTACTCGGATGAATGACGTCGATGTTGTCCGAGTATACCTTCTAGTACT